GAGCCTAACTCAGAGATTGCAAAGGCAATGAAACAAGCACATATTTCCTATGGCAGCCTATCTGAGTTTCTGTTGTTCTCTTTACCCTATTTCAGAGCGGAGTTCCTGCCGAAGTTTAAACTTTGACAGCAAGTTGCCACCATTTTACAACTTCCACAATGTACTGCTTGATATATCACTTTAGACATTGCATTAGGGAAAGCTGAACTGGCTGTTGCCTGCTGCCAAGTCTGGAACTGTGGCACTGAGAAAAATCACTCTTTCTTCTTGAAGATTTTGCAACTTGTTGCTGCCACCAATAAAGTTGTGCAGAGAGAGGTTCAAATGACTGGAGGTGTCATCTATGGCAGTAGCAACAGCATTACTGCAGAGAAGCTAAGCAGAGAACATCCCTCTCGATGCCTTTGTTAAAGTGCTACTATTGTTGGAACCAAATTGCTTTGGCATTTTTAAGAATGAAAAGGTTTATTTATGCACTTATTTTACAAATCACGTCAAATCAATAAAGCTGTGGAAAGTATGAACAAATGGTGGCTGGGAAGGAGAGACTCGTGGCTTGTCTAGAGCAGAAGACTTTGGCCTAGCCTTGATACTGGTTCTAAATTCAGTTCTACAGTCTGTTCTAGCATACCACTATGCCTACAAATGACTAAAAGAAGTAGCATAAGCTAAAATCTCCTGACAGGACTCAAGGAAAACATCCCCCTTCCTATCCCTACAAACAAGCTACCTAAGAAAAAAAGATTCCAGGTAACTCAGCAGCTTATCACAACACATCATGAGGTGCATCAATTCCAACTCACAGCACCTGGTACAACTACTTTGGCCCCATATCTATGGAGAGAGCATGTTAAAACCCAAGCAGAGATAAGAATTAGGATAATTTCAGAATGGAACCAGTTTCCACAAACAGTACACAGCCAAGGACAAGAACAAACCAAATACCTCCTGCTGGACCACATTCAAGCTCCAGTTAGCCCACAACCTGTTTCCCACAGAAGCCAATCAGATGTTTCTGGAAAGTTAAAACAGGGCTACCTTCTTCCACTGTTTCTTTCAGCTGCTGATATCTGAAGCCACACTATCTTGGAATCTTGATATTTCATATGTCATCATATCAAATAGCCAGTCAGAGAGTTTTCCTCCATGTTCAAATGGAAATGAATTCTATAAGTAATCATGTGATTATCTAATGGTTTCCCTCAACTAATAGAAAACACTTTGATCCATTAGTGGCTTACATCCACAGAAATGGCAGAGGATATTGTCTTAAATTTATCTCTTCTTTGTAGCAATCAGATGCTAGTTCCCACATTGTTCTGAAGTGTACCTAGCCTTGCAAGTCACAGGATCCCAGCCTATATGTTGAAGAATTACTATATTTCCAAGTATTAATTTAAAAAATTTAGCATCACCAATAAGGTAAATTTAAATATAGGGAAGTGAGATTTTCAAGCCTTAAGAGCTTTTCTCTTCTCTTTTTTCTTTTTCCTTGCACTTTTTACTCCTCTTTATTCTCTTTTCTTACTTTAAGTTCAGTTTGTATTAGATTTTTCTATTATAATCAAAATTACATACATACACACGTACACACACACACACATACAATGGGACAACCATGTGAAAGCCCACACTTCCTGGGATTGATTGATTGATTAGATTTCTCACCATTTTTTTCCTCTCATTCCACATATATTTTTAGTTATTTGGGTGTAAGCAAAATTTGTCAAGATCACCTTGTTCCTAAATTTGAAATTTTATTAGCCTGCACCATTGCTGGGATCAGATCCCTCACACAATGTTCTGTTAATAAACTGAGTGGGATTAGGTATAAGTACATGCTTACAACATTTGTGAGATATTTTCTAGAAGGAAATGCAGTTATGATGCCAATATGAGTCAGTGGCTTGTTTATCAATTGTCTGCTGGATTGAGGATAAATAGGTTGAAGTTATATATAATAGGCAATTGCTGATAATCAAAGCAAGTTTCACAACAAACGCAGAAAAAGACAAATAATAAAAGAGAATATATGTAGCTTATGGTTGAACTGTGGAGTTCGTAGTACCTTCCAAGTTTGGTTGTTTGTTTGCAGACATTTCATAGGTAACATCCTAGTTGGGTAATGTTACCTAGTTAGGTAATGTTACTTAATTAAGTAATGTCTACAAACAAACAACCAAGCTCAGAGAACACCACAAAACCCAAGAAAATATAGATAATTGCTACTATTGAAATTCACAAAATATATCAGGGATCTTCACATTTTCCTTGACGTAGTTGGCCACTTCGGGCTCATGTATGTAACACTGAAATCTGACCAGATTTGTAAAAGAAAATAACAGTGCTGCAGGATTACAGGAAAAAAAAAGATGGCTGTGAACTGTTTCATGCCCATCATACAACAGTATGCACTGATTTTGGTTGTGCATTGACTTTGTTTATTTTACAAAAGAAGGGCCATGTTGGGGTGGGGAGTAGGAGGATAAACTCAAAAGATGTTCATTTACATAGTTTAGATTAGGTCAAAGGTTCATTTTTCCCCCTGCTTTCTCACAACTTCCTAGGGATACAAAGAAAACATATTTAATAAATAACTCACAAAAAAGCTCCCAAGGAAATGAAAACCAGAATGCAGTCCTCTGATCAAATCCTTGTTTGACATTTTCTCATTTGATCATTTTTTCTTCTTCTGACATTATAAAGAGTTAGCTTTGAGCAGCTGCTCTGCTCTGATCCAAAGAACACAATAGTAAGAATCCAATCATGGCTCTGTTTTACCCAGGGAAATATTTTGATTTGGTAAAAGTAGACTCTGTGCTCTCTTATTCTCTCTTTAATTATATCCATGCAGGAAGAAGAGTCATTAGAAAACCTGTCATCAGAAAGTGCAAATCCAAACACAGCTTGGCCAAGACAGCCATTGGAAATTGCTGGAATACACTAGTACGACTTTTATTTCCGAGCCAAATGTTTAAGCAACGCTTTAGTTGTGTAACAGACTGGAGAACATGGAAAACTGTTAGCAATTTCCTATGGGATGCTATCTTTGAGTTCTTCAAATTACAGGATGAACTTACGTTTTTATTAAAAGAGAGCAGAATGTTTTTGTTCAAAGGTTTCATTGGAACATCACATTATAAATTTGTCACGTCCTGGTAATATTCTTGAAGCCTGTTAAATCCCACTGCCTATTTCTATCACCTCCCACAGAATACTTAATAAAAATAAAAATTCTCAGTGGCATTACCAGAAGCATTAAACTATAAAAAGCTGGTATAGAACAAAGATGTTTGGTGTTGTAAGCAGAATCCTCTTGGAAAACAGTAAAAACATACTAAAAGGAAAACAACTAATAAGGTTAAAAAACAACAACTGAAGAATATGCCAATGAACAACAGAGAAAGTATTCAAACTTCTAGGGTACAAAAGAAGCTGTAATGGGAAACAAACTAAAATCCTGGAAAGGAAAATGTTGATACGCACTGGAGTTAGGACTCACTCTCTCTCTTTTGTATTCTATGATTGCTTTTACTGTATGCTGCCCAGAGTCATTGCAGAGTTGGGAGGCCTTATGCATTTTTTAAAATAAAATAAAAATAATTTGTTGAATAAAAAATGCTTACATGTTCTAAAACAATAGTTGAAAAAATTGGGAGAGGGGGACTGAAACTAATTTACTGAATTATTAACCTCAATTATTAACAGGAAAATTAAAAGTACAACTTTAAAAAAAATTGGTTTGGAATTATTAAATCATTTTAAATCAAGTAACACACATAAAACCATTAGAACTATGTTACTGGTACTGTTACAAACACTTTCGTTTATTTAGCAGCAGAGATTCACACTTTCAAAACAAGTTAGGAACATTGGCAGATGTTAAATTCTTTCTATCTATGCAAACTCAAATGCACTGATCTATAGCAGATCATGCATTTTCTGGGCTAAATTATTAAAAGGTAATTGATGGCATTTATTTCTTACTTTTCCTGTAGATCTGATGAATCAGACTTTAATTTTTTTAACTCATGTATTTTAAAAAATATATTTATACTACTCTACTTCTTATAACTCAAGGCAGTTTACATTTCTATCCTTTGAACTCCCATGGCAGTATGCAGTGATAGCAAAGGCTAATTTAAGAATATCAATTAGGTATAAATAATCTGATCTCAAAAAGCTCCGCTAGCTCAGTCAGTAGAACATGGGTCTCAATCCCAGGGTTGTGGATTCGAGCCCCACATTGGGCAGCTGTAGTTTGAGAGCCAGTTTGGTGCACTGGTTAAGGCCCCAGGCTAGAAACAAGGAGACTCTGAGTTCTAGTCTTGCCTTAGGCACAAAGCCAGCTGGGTGACCTTGGGCCAGTCCCTCTCTATCAGCCCAGCTTACCTCACAGGGTTGTTGTTGTAGAGAAAATAGGAGCATTTTGTATGCTGCCTTAAGTTGTACAAAATAGGGGCAGGATATAAATCTAATAATAATAATAGCATTTCAGATAATTTTTGAACATTAAAACGCTGCTAGTAGTTTAGGAAATGTCTGTTTATAAACTGAAATCACTCCTAATAATATTTTTTTTTCTTTGAAATTGTATTGATTTGCAGCTTTTATTATCAGTGTATACTTGACTTGGCAGAGCAAAATTTTTGAGTTTATGTGTGTGGCATATCTGAACTTGAATAAACATTGGGTGGTCTATCATAAGCAACTTTCTCATTACTCAGGCATAGGACCTTAATTGTGGATCAGGACTCAGAACTATGATATCAGTGTTTCATTTAATAGTTTGTTGTCACCATGTTTATTGTGCAGCAGTATACAACTAGATAAATAATATCAAGTACAAGAAGACTTTCTTTATGTTTTGTTTCCTTTTTGCATTTGGAGAAAATGGAAAAGAAGAGTAAGCTAAAAAGACTGGAAATAATTCACAGATAGAAGTTTACATCATAAAAAAAATAAGTATGTCTTATGTCTTAAAACTGGTTTTCCCTTTGAACAGGCACTGTTCTATTATACAGGTCCATGTTTCTCCTTTACCTTTTCATCTAATTCCTGTTTTATTATATGGCATTTTCGCTTAATTTTTGTGTTTTCTTCTTCCTTGTGGGTTAGCTCCACTGTTAGCTTATCACATTCAATTTTCATTTTTTCTACCTGTCGACGATGAGCTTTTACAAAATTTCTTTCTTCTATAAGTTCTGCCTATTGGAAGTAAGCCAGACAAGGAATGAAGTGTTTAGTATTTCATATTAATGGCACAGAAATTTGGAGGAAAATGCTGGTTCAATAACTCCCTTGGTAGTAATCTGATGTCCCTCAATCCCCCAAAGATATCCAGTTTTACTAATGGGAAGACACAAGGTTATGCAGACAAGTAAGAGGGAAACTACAATTGTGGTAAAGAGAAAGGAAAGAAAGTGAATTTGAAATAAACTTGTAGCTTATTTTTAGTAAACTAAATCCCCATCTGTTTACTTATTGTCAATGCAATATTTGGTTATATAATAAAATAATTCAATTCATTCTGTTTTATCAAACATCAGGTTTTTACAGGAATAACTGTCTAACAGAGCTGATATGCGATAGTGAATATTTTATACAGTAAGTACTGATCAGACCTCTTTCCTCAACATTTCCCATACATTAATGGGATCTGAACAGGCAATGATGGGTCAGGAAAGGGAGCTTGGAAAAGACAAATTCTGTGCTCTGGATCATTAGAAAGAAAATTCAAAGCAGAACTACCAATATGATAATCTTATACACAGTACAAATCCATGGAGAGACAATACTCTAATTGATGACATAGCTGAAGCACCTCCTCTATGGAGACTGTTGCTTGGAATAAAGGAGGGTAAAGGGAAACATAGCAGACTGATCACTTATGGTGCAAGCTATCATGGAAAAAGATATGTCTTTCTCCCTTTATCACAAATATTAGAACTTGAAGTTACACATTGGATCTAAATGTAGGGAAATTCAGGACTGACAGAAGGATATTTTTTTCCAAACAGTACATAGTTAAACTAGAATTTGCTGCCAGCAGCTATAGTAATGGTAGTCCATTTGGATGCTTTTAAAAGGGTTTGGACAGATTCATGTAGGATTAATCTATTGTGGCTATTACTATTGATGGTTGTTTACTACCTCCTTGCCTTAAATGCTGATTATTGGAAAGTAACAGTGGAAGGAGGTTATCACTCTAGAGTCCAAACCTGTGAGTTTCCTAACTGTATCCAATTGGTTATTGTGTGACACAGAATATTGGACTAGATGGACCTATGGCCTGATCGCACAGAACTCTTCTACGTCAATACTATACTTGCCTTGCATAATTTTTTCAGATTATGATAACCATTCATCCAGTCTTGCCTACACAGCTCTTTCTTTAAAACAAAAAACAAAATAGACAATATATACAAACAAAATAATTTGGATAAAAGTCAGAGTAAAATAACAGCCACATAAAATATTAGCCAACATATCACACCACTTAGCAATTCACAAGAACCCCACTTCATAAAATCCCATCTATGCAATACTATGCAATAATAATGACTATGTGTTGACCATCTCAGAGATACCTTCAACATTCCAATGTGATTAGCTGCCTCCTCTTTTTCTTGGTTGAATAGCTTCATCATCTCTTGGACATGTTGGTCATGTTTGGTTTTCAACTGCTGCAATTCTGACTGAAGTTTTGCCAGCTCTTGTTTGTGGACATCTCTTTCCAGTTTCAGTTGCTTATTGACTATAGCCATCTCCTCCTGACCAGACTCTACTTGTTTCTGGAGTTCCATGACTGATTTCCCCATTTCTTTTTTGGATTTCTCCTCTTCTGCTATTCGGTTGGCCAGTTCAGCCCGAACAGCACTCAGGTTTTTTACAACTGCTTGCATTTCTGACAATCTTGTCTGATCCTTTTCATGGATCATGTTGATACTTGCAAGTTCTTCCTCTAAATGCTTTTTCTCAGTTTTTATCTGAGTCTGTATTAGACTCTCATTTTGCAGTTTGTTCTCAAGTTTATCTGCTGTTTTTCTGACATCCTTGATTTCTTGTTCAAGGGCCATCTGCAAGGATCTAGTTTCACTGAGTTTCATTTCTTTACAGTGCAGCTCCTCTTCTTGTCTGGCCCTTTTCTCAAGAACATCTGTCAGTTCCTTTTGAAGATTTTCCATCTGATGCATAGTTGAAAGAAGCTGGCTCTTCAATTCATCCTTTTCTTTAAGAACCTACAGTTCAAATGAAATAGGGCAGTGTTGAGTGGTCTAAGAATCTGTTATGGGCAAGAAAAGGCACAAAATAGCATTGTTGAAAATGAAAGACAATCAAAAAGAAGAGTGTCAAAGGATCACTGCATAAACTTTGCTAATTGCACTAACAATTTGATTGGATGAGAAAGAATGGTCTGAAACACAAAATGTTTGCTGGTAGATTATGTAGTTCTCTTTATGTAATATAGTTTGCATGCCTGGAGATTACTGGAGAATGACATATCATTCTTCCAACTAAATATATAAGCAAACTTCATAGGATAGTTATCTGCTTCTCATTATTCAAATATTCAAGCAACTTTTTCATATTTGCATACAGACATACGTATATACAAGGTCAGCATTTCCCAAATTCTGAATTGCCTATACATGTATTTGATCCAGAACAAAGTTTAAGGGTATACAAGGGTCATCAGCTGATAGGAAATCCACCCCCTGCCCCATTCTATTCTGCTGTTACAAGGATTAACTAGATTCTTCCCAATATTTTTAAACTATACTGTTTCATTTGCAGATTTATTTTTAAAAAGTAAATATGAATTTACCTTACAATCTATGGATTGTTTTGCTGTCAAAAGTAACCAAATGTGCATTAAGGTAACACAATCAAATGCCACTGAGTTAGGATTAAATCTTGGTAACTGTACAGATGAAAGTCCTCCATCTTAATGTTTCTCTAGCAATATTTTGCAGCTGTTCCAGGGATATTCCAGTAATATCCATGATCTCGGATCCATTCATTGCCTTCCTTTTTTTCTCCTTGCCTCAACTCTGCCAAGCTCAGAAACTTTTTCTAGACTATCACCCTCTAGTATCATATAGTTAAAATATATGAATTTATGCTTGCTGAACCTCAACTCAAAGAATGGTTTGCATTTATTTTTTTCCATGATTGATTGATGAGTTCTTCTTGTAGTCCATAGTTTTCTCAGCAGCTGTCTCCAAATCCATAATCTAAAGACATCTATCTTCTTTCCCTTGTTCTTACTCAATATCCAACTTTCACAACTTTACTGGGGGAAATGATTGATTTAACTATTCTGATCTTTGTTGCCATCGAAATATCCTATACTTCATGATATTGTCTATCGCTGCCTTCCTCCCTAGAATTAATTGCTTATTTGCTTCCCCATCATACTGTCTATTTTTATGCTTGAGCTGAAAAAAAAACTATAAACTGTAAACTATAAACTATTTATAGTCTTCACTTCCTTCAATGTTAACTGTGAGTTCATAAGCATGCTGGTTGATTTTAACTTTGTCTTTTTAATATTCAGCATTAATCCAGATTTTTCACTTCCTGTTTTTATCTACCTAATTAACTCTTTATTTTGATTTAACAAGATGGCGTTGTCTGCATTATTTCAAGTGGTTAGATACCTGCTTATCTTAAAACCTCCAATGTTGATTTCAGTTTTTTTTTCTTCCAATGGCCTATTCTTCCAATATTTAACTTAATTACATACTAGATTTAACAGCAGGAGTTGCATTCTTGTGTCACTTTATTTTCTGAACCACTGTTTCTTCAAACTTAGTTCTTACAATAGCTTCTTACTCATTGTACAGTTCCTCAAAAGAGTAATTAGGTGTTCTGGCATATCCATTAACCTTAATATGTTCCACATTCTGGCATGATACACACAATCAAGGCCCTTTCAGGTTTGGCTTTTCTCACACCTGCAGAGCCCTAACTGTTTTTACCCCATTTCTGGATTCCTACTGGTTTATCCATTCTCTTTCAACTTTAACAGGAAGGGTGACCCTACCACCAGCATTGATCTTAAAGAGAATGGAACTACTGAGCCTTCCCCACTATATTATATATTTTATAATATAAAAATCATTAAATACAAAATACAAAATAAACACGTTGTAAATTGTTTATATTTTTTTATCATCTTCATTATAACAAAAAGCAACTATATTTAAATAAATAGTTATATCTCCTATCCTAAGCTGTCAAACCATTCCAAACAGCCTGTATTAAACATCGCTATTTAAATTTAGACTAAATTCAAATTATCCTCCCTGTCCTGCTAGCATGCTCCCTACTATTAGACCATCCACTTCAATCTTGGGTTCTTAGAAACTTCTTACTAAGTGTTAACATTCTCTACCCTCCCCACCACCACTTATTACCAATATTCCTTTTTATCCTGCCCCTATCAAAGGTTTTGAGAATTCCTGACCTGTTGTGAACTATAGGGTTCATCTGCATTTTTATCTTAGACAGGAAGCTTTTAAATTCCACTAAATGGAATTTGCATTGACAGAATGTAAAGTAAATGAATGATTAATTATAAAGCAAGAAAGAAAATCCACCTACTTGTCAAACATGGAGTATATCACATTGAAGCCTTCTGAGGACATAAAAAAGCTTTTAGTATTAAAACTGTGTTTCCTATGTTGGTTGATTATTTTGAAACTGCAATCACAAGCTTAATTATGGCATTCAGCTTGCTGATGGCCATCTGCCAAAACTGTCCTCTTTGCATGTTTTTACTTCTAGGGTAGAAGGACTAATCTACTATTTTCACACCAGTCATTTTTCTCCCATACTTATTATCACATCAAAATATGCTTCCTCTTGAAGTCTTTATAGGGTTTTTTTTTTCCTGTTTCTGGACATTATTCAAGAACATTTACTTTCAGTATGAATTGGTATTTTAAATGTTAATTTTTCAACTGATTACCAAAATTGAAAATTATACCACACCACTGAGCTCTAAACTCATAACTGTTAGTTCCTTCTTCTGTGGGCAAACACAGAATAAAACAAGACAAAGACTTCCCAAAGTGTCCCAAACTTCACAGTGGACTATTCTTTTACAACCAAAGGTGACCTATTTTCCTGTTAGGGAAACTGAACTGCTATTCCTAGGGAGAATGCAAATGAAAATGTATAAAAACTATCAGCTAGTCAAACCTGCAACTAAACTTTTATCTATCAGTTCAGAGTCATTTTGGCTACCAGGGCAGCCTGACTCCCAATCTCACAAAACATTTACTATTTTGCACCTCCAAAAGCAAATCCATGAAGAGGATTGTGGGCTTCTTGGAGGTGTCTGGTTTTTCACTACTGGAAACAATAGACTTAACTTAATAAAGTTCAGGAAGAAACCTGCTGGAAAAGAGCAAGATATAAAAGAGATCCAAGTAGACACATGCAATCCATATCTTTAATCACCTAGAGAGTACAGAAAGACAAATTGTTTAAATTTGCTTTACATGCTTTATTTATTTACTAAGTAGGGCTTATGAGCCACTCCAATTCCCAGAAGTATAACATACTTTGTACTAACCTTCATCAACATGGTACCTTCCAGATTTATTGGCCCTACAGCTCCCAGAAGCCCCGGCCCTTTAAAATAGCTTCTACCTGAGATTTTCTTTTTTTGGGGGGGGGTACACTTTTAGCCTTCCAGAAGGCCATGAAGACTTGGCTATTCCCCCAAGCATTGGGGTAGGATGGGGGTTGAGTCAGGGGGTCAACAGTATGTGTGGCTCTGGTGCCTTGGTGAGAAGGGTACAATGTGTTTTTATGTTGTTGTTTTCATTGGTTACTATGAGCTGCCTAGGATCACTGTGTGGGAAAAGTATGTGTGGGAAAAGCCATATAAGTTCTTTAAATAAATAAAATCTCAGCCATTCATGTTGACTGAAAAATCTCAAAGTTGTATTCCAAATAGAGGTAAAGGGCAAAATATACCTTGCATCTTTGCAGCCAGAAACAACAGGAGAATGCAGGCAGTATGCCAGATAGAATAAAGTTATCCCTAAAAATGTTTAAGCAAATTACAGAGATTCCAAATTTGAAGAGGCAAGGAGAAAAAGAACTAATTCTATATCATTACCTTCATAATTTATCATATTTCTTACAGAAGAAGTGCAAAAAAGGGAGAAAAACATGTGAGTCTGAGCATATGCCCACTGATATCAACTCTAGTTAAGTCTAATCTAAATTGGACTAGGTTTGGACCTTACCCAATTTCCATCAGTGATCAGTTTAAATTTTAAAAAATTACCTTGCCTTTTGACTAAATTATACCTTTTTTTAAATTTCAGTATTACCTACTGAAAGTCGTATCTCATCCCACCTCCTCATTACTAATGTAATGTGTATTTAGTAATAGTTCATAACTAAGTTTTACACAAATTTCAATAGTTTTAAACTGTACTAGAAGAACTGCAAATATTCGCATGATGCAAGAGTTACTGTTTGAAGGAAATGAAAAAAATTTTTAAATGCCATACCAAATTGTTCTTCTCCATCAACTGGCTATGAAGTTCAGTTTGTTTTTCTTTTTCGTGTTCTAGTTTTTTACACCTTAGCTTCCAGTATCGAATTGATTCCTGAGCTTTGAGTTTTAACTCTTCTTTTTTCTTCTCAATCTCTAGTCTTAGTACTTCAGATTGTTTCAATTCAGCTAGGTACGTCTCTGCTTCCTTGGTCGATTCTTCTAGTTGCTGACCTAGCTCTGTAACATGTACTTCCGCAGCTCTGCGCTCATTTTCGCAGATTTTATAGGTGTTCTGTATATCCTTCAGCTGGCTCAACATCCTTTGCTGCTGGTTCTCCCTCTTTTCCAAGTCAGCTGTTAAAGCCTAGAAGCCACCACAACATATTAAGGACTGTGCTTACAGAGAGATAGATACATATAAATTTAAAGTTTACATGTACATATAAAGAAACCAAATTTCTTTGAATACATGGAGAACATCAACAGCAATGTTTCAGTTTCCTGCAATTATGACCATTTAAAACACTCTTATTTATTTACTACCTTTATAGCCTAGCCCAAACCAAACAAATTCTGGGCAAGGTATAAGGTCACAAAAAGTAAGCAATAAAATTCATTAAAATTATTGATAAACAATCAAAAGCCTCACGGGTGTCTCATAAGTCCCAGTAAGCCACACTAATTAAAGGCCAAAAGAATAAATATTGTTTATTCTTTATTATTTGCAGTGAACAAAATGCTTTACACTCTCATGTATTTACATGCCTGGAATGTAATCTCTAGAATGCATCTGTTGTGCTAAAGGGAAAAGGCAAACATAAAAAGAATCTCACAATATACATACATCCAACATAAAATGAAATCTGCTGAACAAGTCCTTATTACTGTGATTTCCTCAAAATATGTAAAAAACATCCCATTCCAAACAAAGGCAATTTGTATCTGGACCATGTTCAAAATATATGAAGTTCTACCTACTCTAGATGATTTATTTACAGAAAGTTTTTGGACTACCCTCCTCAAGAGCTGGATCATTATAGTCTGGGCGAAAAACAGAAATACTTTCCACCTCAAAAATAATTCTTGAATGTATACCAAAGAACCATCAGCATGCTTAATAACATTATGTGTGTTCAAGGAGGCATATGAAATCAACATGACATATTGGATAATTCTCTTGGGTTCACCTAACACAGATTATGAACATAATTCCTAAAGCTATACATTACTCTATAGAGTAGAGTGAGCAGCTATATTAAATCTAATAATAGATTTATATATAATAGTTGTAATAATAATAACAAACCTACCACATTATAAGGAAGTATCCAAAAAAAGTCATAACTTCCAACGGAAAAGTGCCACAGTCCACATACAAAACTGAGAAGTATCTATCATTCCATGTTTTCCCACTGATAATTCCCTAGCCATCTTCCACAGAGCAGTTTAAAATAACAATACCATAAGGAGACATCTCAAGTCTTTTCATCAAGCAAGAGAGCTAAAAACATTTAATCTCAGCCATTAAATAGCAACATTCTAAATAAATGATTTTGGACACTGTGGTCATTATAGCTGACATAAAAGTAGACTTTCTAATTGAGCTTTTCTCTAAAATGCAAAAGACTTTCGTACTTTAATACATGTGTACATTTTTAGACCATCAAGCACACTAGAAAACCTTTCTTGTTCATATACCTTAAAAGTGATGTTTTATATGCTCAGTTGAGTTCAATAACAAAGGAAGATTTGTATTAATTAAATATAACCTGTAAGATCTATGGATTCAAATTCTGACTGTGACAGATGTGAAGAGACACTTAAAAACACTGAAATAGTTACATTTAATCTTCCATAAATGTTATAAAACGTCTCACCTCTGTGCTAAATTATTTTCCTTTCAATAGCTGTAATTGTTTCCCATCTGGTGATAATATTAAAAGACACCAGTCCTAAATAATGGCATCTTCAACTTTTCTGAGTCATTAAAAATAATTATTTCTCCACAAACCCTTGGGGAAAAGATCTTGTACCTACAATTATAGCTTTTCTTTTCTTTTCTTTTCTTTTTTGGTATAATTTTTATAAAAGATTTTTTTTAAAGACGATAAAAACTAATACAAACTAATATAAAGTGAGAAAAAGGAAAGAAAAAAAGAAATCAAAGAGAGAGCTAAAAGGGCAAGAAAAGAAAAAGAAAAATAGAAAAGAAAGAAACAAAGAATTAGCTTTCAATCTTCTTTACAGCAGTTGTAAGTAGAATTACAAATTGACCTCTTACTCTCTGCTTACAGCATAACCCTTTTCTTTCTATAATTTATTCTATCCTATTGTCAAAACCATAAATCATAAGTTCATTGTTTTCTGTTTCACACAAGAATTCTATGAGTTTCCAGTCAACAAGAAATGTAGATATTGTCTTTTGTCTGCTCAAAGAAGTCATTTTAGCCACCTCAGCAACTTCCATCATCTTCACCAACCATTCCTCCACTGAGGATAGTGCCAAATTTTTTCATCCTTGTGCAAATAATAAATTTGCTGCAGTTACCATGCACAAAAACAAAGTTCCCTTATTTTTTTTCCAACTGTTTGTCCATCAATCCCAGAAGAAAAACCTCTGCTTTCAATTGTATT